AAGCACTGGACCTGCCAATACCAGCACCATGGTTCAACCCCCCCCCCCCCACCCCCTCCCATCCCGACCTTCCGTGTTGCAACATATACTTTTTCAAGAGCTTGCAATAGAGCAAAGGAATGGAGAGGATCCCAGGTAGGTGTGTCTATGAGGAAGCCTACAAGGGAAGAGGGAAGGCCAGGGGCTGTAGGCAGGACAGCAAGGTGCCTGACTGCCAGATGCCAAAGGTTCGAGGAAGTATTGTAAGAACCAGTAAAAATGACAGCCCAGCCCATTAACACTGTGTAGTGGTGAATAGAAATTTATCGCCCACGATGTGTCAAGTGTCGAGAGCGAACCATCAAGATCATTATTTGTGTTTGTTGCACTGTTTTAATAAGTTGTGTAAATTTCATTGTGTATCAGCTGCCTAAATAAAATATATGTAACAGAAAATTTTTAATTTTTGGTTTCAAAGAAAATATATTTTTTGTGCGATTTTTTGAGGAATAACGTATTCAGTGTTATGGAACCATTTATGGTTACTGAAATTTATCTTTATTAAATGCATGCTACCTGTATAATAGCAAAGTATAGTATATGTATCAGCCTGTATAATAGTAAAGTATATATGCTTCAGCCTGCTGCTGTTGCAGCAGCAACAGCAGCAGGCTGAAACAGTTCTCATTGCCTTGCAGTTATCTATACAGTAGTACACAGAATGGTTATTAAGGAAAATGAATGATGGATAGACTCACAGAAAAAATGTATTGGGCCCTAACTCATTACATTTTCACCTGTCTATATGCAAATGTGGATTCCTTTCTAAACATGCTTACAATAGCCACAGACGACAGAAGAGCATAAAAAGATTCAGGAATCAATGGCAAGGCACCAAAGGCCATCCCACTATTCAACTATAATGGCCATAATTCTAACCTTAACATGTCGTAAGCGATATATTCCCTTTTACTACTACTCAATATTTATGGGCTGGACTGTCTTTTTCTACTGGTTCTTAAAATACTTTCTTGAACCTTTGGCATCTGGCAGGGTGACCCAAAACAAGAAACACACCATCACTGTCTTGCCAGAGGTGCCGATACTGCTGTTCAAAACTGCAAATATTCCCACCCTTTCCTCAGAGTGCAGGGTACTTTCCACCTCTAGGACTCAAGCCTGGCTAACCAGTTTCCCTGAATTCCATCACAAAATGTTACCTTGCTCACATTCCAACAGCTCGTCACGTCCCAAAAACATTTGCTTTGGAGAATCGAATACAAAATGAGAGTTGACACAGTTACTTTTTGCTGATGATACTGTGCTTATGGAAGATTCTAAAGAAAAGTTGCAAAGGTTAGTGGACGAGTTTGGGAGTGTGTAAAGGTAGAAAGTTGAAAGTGAACATAGAGAACAGTAAGGTGATGAGGGTATCAAATGATTGAGATAAAGAAAACTTGGATATCACACTGGAGAGAGGGAGCATGGAAGAAGTGAGTGTTTTCAGATATTTGGGAGCTGACATGTCAGCGGATGGATTTATGAAGGATCAGGTTAATCATAGAATTGATGAGGGAAAAAAGGCGAGTGGTGCGTTGAGGTATATGTGGAGACAAACAACGTTATCTATGGAGGCAAAGAAGGGAATGTATGAGAGTATAGTAGAACCAACACTCTTATATGGGTGTGAAGCTTGGGTTGTAAATGCTGAAGTGTGGAAATTAGGAGAAGGTGCGGAGTTAATAAAAGTATTAGTCAGAGGGCTGAAGAGGGGTTGTTGAGGTGGTTTGGTCATTTAGAGAGAATGAACCAAAGTAGAATGACATGGAGAGCGCATAAATCTGTAGGGGAAGGAAGGCGGGGTAGGGGTCGTCCTCATAAAGGTTGGAGGGAGGGGGTAAAGGAGGTTTTGTGGGCGAGGGGCTTGGACTTCCAGCAAGCTTGCGTGAGCATGTTAGATAGGAGTGAATGGAGATGAATGGTATTTGGGACCTGACGAGCTGTTGGAGTGTGAGCAGGGTAATATTTAGTGAAGGGATTCAGGGAAACCGGTTATTTTATATAACAAGACTTGAGTCCTGGAAATGGGAAGTACAATGCCTGCACTTTAAAGGAGGGGTTTGGGATACTGGCAGTTTGGAGGGATATGTTGTGTATCTTTATACATATGCTTCTAAGCTGTTGTATTCTGGGCACCTCTGCAAAAACAGTGATTATGTGTGAGTGAGGTGAAAGTGTTGAATGATGATGAAAGTATTTTCTTTTTGGGGATTTTCTTGATTTTTGGGTCACCCTGCCTCGGTGGGAGACGGCCGACTTGTTGAAAAAAACAAAATATATATAAATAAATAAATAAATAAATAGAGAGAGGGGGTAAAGGAGGTTTTGTGGGCGAGGGGCTTGGACTTCCAGCAAGCGTGCGTGAGCGTGTTAGATAGGAGTGAATGGAGACGAATGGTACTTGGGACTTGACGATCTGTTGGAGTGTGAGCAGGGTAATATTTAGTGAAGGGATTCAGGGAAACCGGTTATTTTCATATAGTCGGACTTGAGTCCTGGAAATGGGAAGTACAATGCCTGCACTTTAAAGGAGGGGTTTGGGATATTGGCAGTTTGGAGGGATATGTTGTGTATCTCTATACGTGTATGCTTCTAGACTGTTGTATTCTGAGCACCTCTGCAAAAACAGTGATAATGTGCGAGTGTGGTGAAAGTGTTGAATGATGATGAAAGTATTTTCTTTTTGGGGATTTTCTTTTTTTTTTTTTGGGTCACCCTGCCTCGGTGGGAGACGGCCGACTTGTTGAAAAAAAAAAAAAAAAAATAAATATAAATATATATAATATATAATATATAATATATATATAATATATATAATATATATATATATATATAATATATATATATATAATATATATTATATAATATATATATATATATATATATATATATATATATAATATAATATTAATTATATATATTTTTTTTTCAACAAGCCGGCCGTCTCCCACCGATATGTATGTATGTATATGCACTGAATCACAGTATATGTATGTATATGTATGTACGTACATACATATATGTATATGTATGTATGTATGTATGTAATTATCTGATGTGTTGTTCAATAGTAAATATGTGGAAGTCCAGCAATCATACTGTAATAAGTGACCGTAAGAATCACTGTCATACGTGTAGTAATACTTCATTAAAAACGACCAACTTCAATAAAAGTGTTGTGAAGCCTACACTTGTCGACAGTGGAGTCATCCTTCACCGTTTACATATCCTGTCAAGAAAGGTATCTAATCGCAACAACGCGTGGTTTTGGATTATTTTTCAACTTTTCCTTATTAGTTATTTCAGCCATAAAAAAATGGCTATATAAAAACACCTGTATGAAATTATATTTGGATTCAAACACAATTATTTGTTTTGAAGTTGGAAATTATATGCCCACTGTACTGTACTAGGTAGACTGGTCATGGCACAATAAAATGACACTAAAGATAAAGCAGAACGTCCACAGACTTGTCATGCACAAAGCAACAACTAGATGCTACAACTTCCTGGCACAACTCAATCCCTCATTTCGTTACTAGAATCATCTTTATCATTGTGTATTCCACATTTCACGAGTAAACTCATTCATAATCACTTTACGCAGTACTGTAATTAACTTCTTGATTATTTTTATACAGCTTTCTTATGCAATATATATTTATTTCATGCTTTATACTTTGTATGTCATGGTAAGCATAAAGTACCCTTATGTATGCTAACCTTAGTTAAATATTACTCTTAATGGCTTCTGTAGGAAATGATTTCTCTGCTATATAAATTGTTATAGCACAGTTAATAGATCCAACTTATCATTACTTATTCAAAGTACACAATTTTAATATGTTCAGTAACTAGGATGCCCACTTATAATATTACCTCTCTATGCAAAAGTACGTTCAAAATCTATTGCAGAACTTATGATTTATTTGTGGCTCAAGTGCTGTTTGATTACTTTCTTTTATGAATCATTAATATTTAATTACTTCATGTACAAGTTACTGAAGTTCATGCCAAGAAGTGAGTGAAAATTTGTAATACTGTATATCCATTTATGTCTGGAGAGAATCAACTAACACACAAATGAAATTCTATTCAAACATTTTAGCATGCTTTGGTTAAGGCGCACCTACATGGGGAAAATTAAAATTAAATGTTTATATAATTTTTATAGCATTAACAAACATTCTTCTAATTAAAACATCAAATAGACTACAAAAAGTGCGGGTAACCGTCGTCTCAGTATATATAAATATATATATACACATATATAAATATATATGTATAAAGCAATAATAAAGCTTCTCTTGTAGCCTTTAAAAAGCAGGCAAGACTGCCAGCAAGAGGGAATATATTAAACTGCCCAGCAGTGTTAATGACATTAAAATACTTTATCTTGTCACAGCCTTTTAATCTGCTTTGTCACCTGCATCGGTATTCTGCCTGTGGGGACAAAATCCTTAGATATTACTTATGAAACTTGAGGTTTAGAGACAGCTGAGAATCTACTTGACTAGAACTTCATATTCCATCCATCCATTTGGCTCCTTATTTTTTCCTCCCAGTGTACAGTCCTGTAAGGAATAAAATCTTGCCACTTGCAACCGAGTGTTAATAGTTCACATTAGTTACAGAAAAATCAGGCAGGTGCGCAAACATTACTAAATGTGCATGATGCTAGGATTTGTTTTAAAATCTATAAACCCCTTATTCATAAGGTACACCTCAGAACCCTTACCTCAAAAATAGTGCACCCACACCCTTCCATCTGGTGATCATAAGTTTTTTTTTTTTTTTACCTCAATATTGTTATCCTTTTAATTCATTTCTAGGTTGTATTTAGTACTCTTGGGACTACACTACATACGTTACCTGTATCTAGAATGGTGGGTTGTTTTGATATGGATCCTTTATTTCCTAATTTCACTGACTGGGAGGTTGGATGGATGGATTCAGAAAACTTATATGACTTGTAAGTTTTATTGTACTTGAACAACTGCAAGCCTATTTGCTAGCAGCATTTGCTTAATACAAAGGACAGACATTACATCATGACCACGGCCTTATCTTTGTCAAAGTTTTTCTTTGCTTTTATGTGTATAATCATATTTTTTTTAGGAAAGACAAAAGGAGCTCACTTGAATTTTATCCAACTAGTGATATATATTTTCAGTATAAAAAATAAATGTACCCCTTGAGATAAAATACAGCACAATTGAAAACAATTATCTTGAGGAATAAAAAAAATTGGCCTATGGTCATTTTTATACAAATAATTAGGTTTACACTAACCCACTGTGAATACATCAGTAGCTTGTTACCCTAACACCCCCTGGTCAATTAACAATTATTACAAACAGAAGATAATTCAAAAATTCTTTTACTGTTTTCAGAAATTCATATCAGTCTCCACAGGTCATGCAGGATTCATATTATTTTTTCTTAAGATAATTAAGAAGCCATTCACCATTCACTTGATTCTGCTGAAATATCGTCTTGTATATACTTTATATATATACATAGTCTTATCACTTAACATATAATGACTGCTTCATTTCTATGGATTTTTCACTCCATTACATAAAACAAATGCAAAAAACTGTCTATATATGGTACTTTCACCTTATGACAAGTTGGGATTTTGTAACTTTCATCTTTCAATCAGCAATGGTTATTTCTGTTCTGCTTTCAGTTTCATAAAAAAATATTTTGGGCATCCTCTATTTTTTCTTCATATTTTTCACTCATAATTCTTAACTATTTCTATGACTCCACTGTCTTATTTAGTACTTTGACTTTGTTGTTGCACAGCACCAATCAAGTCCCACTTCCAGACAGCAAATGATAGTACTCGCTCCCCACTAACGTCCGAACCTTGATGTACGTACTTAGTTCCTTCCACGTGCAACCTGGCAGTGTTTGGTTTGTGTAAAGGGCTTAGTACGTACCATTGTTGTAGCTTTGGGACGTGCTGTACCCACCCCTGCTGTCGAAATTATCGTAGTTGCTACCGCCCCCATAACTCTGGCCGCCCCCATAAGTGCTGTCATAGCCCGAGTCTGGAAAACAATACAGATGGCCACTATTACAATTCCAGCCCTTATAGCATTATTTTTATCCAACCAACAGCTTGTAACCCAAGATTCAATCTCCAAGATCTTTGATCTTAATACGGGCTATTCATGAAACTTCTGCAATGCCAGGTGTGAATTTCTGGTAACTCATATTTAGGACTCAAACATGCCACCACCATGTACAGAATGGCCACACGAATTAACATGGGAAACACTGATCCACATATACACTCAGTGGAGTCTGGTACCAGTGGCCATATTATATGACTACATAATCAGCTCTAAGAACAATTCAAGGCATAATTCAGTCAAGGCTGGCATTAATCAACCACACAAGGAAAAGTAACTATCAGGAATCTATCTTGATTATCACCAATACCTGATAATGAAGAACCTAGTACACTCTTATATGCAATTAAGCAGCAAGTAGGAGACAACCTGGATGTGGGATCACTGGCCAAAAGTCAATACTGTCAAATCTGCTTTATATGTTATCTATTAGATTTTCCTTTAATAGAAGGTAAACCCCAGCAATAAAAGTGCCTATCAAGTCATCACATTAAGGTACCATATTTATTTGAAAATAAATGTTCAGTTGCCACTACAGCAGTCTGGTCGCACATGTCAAGAGAGCACAAACCAGTCATCACTCACTTGACTTGTAGTTATCATATCCACCGCTGCTGTAGCTTGGTGTACTGTTATAGTTGCTGCCACCATAGCTGTCATAGCTAGAAGAATTGTATCCGCCACCATAACCACTGCAAAAAAATTTGGTTGTGATCACCACCCTAGCCTAAATTCTATTTCAGAAACATGTTACAAATCCAAAACAGTTAAAACTAACAAAGCTGGACAGTTAAATAAAGAAATAGGTTTTGTCTACACAGCAGTATATTACAAAATACTATACCACAACATGCACCATCACCCATTCCATCTAAGAACTAATATGGAACTGACACTTTCTAACAGTGCTCTAAATCATTACTTTGTTGTCTTTGCATTATTTTCAGTGACCTTTAGGTGCTATAGGAGACAGGACAAAGTTTTGGGGTGCATTCAAGTATTCAAAGTATGAAAAATAAATAATTTAATAATCAAGACAAAGCTTGCTAGAAGAGGATGCATAAGGAATGCAGTTCCTTCCCATAATGGTCTTCAGGCTTCCCAAGCCATTATTTTCTTTCATTTGCAGAAATAAATCAATCTTTAAAAACAAATTAACAATATTTGAGTAAGAGTGACCAAAATGGTAGGTAGTAATTTAGTTGTTTTGGCCTACCTGTTACTGTAGCCACTCTCCCCATCCATCCTGGGCCGCTTCATGGGAGGGCCGCCATATGAACCACGCGATGCCCTACAAAGAGACCGCAACTAAGTAACCTACAGGTTCCTTGATTATACCCCCAAAACTCGTGTACTGATTCCTCTACCCTTTTGTCTTTTTATTTCACTTTTTGGTACATGAGTGAATAAATCAGGACCTTGGTGAACACTCACAGGTCACTGATAAAATAATCACTAATGTGGTTCACATGAACATGCAATCTGACATGCAATTCCCCTTTAATGCGCATGCTATTCGAATACACACCAGCAGGTTTTTATATGATGATATGGCCAGAAACTGTCAGTTACCAAGAAATAGGTAATATAAAAGAAAAAATATGCTAATGAAACTAAGAGTTAACAACAACAAGGGTTTTAAAGCTCAGCTTATACACCAACTAATTAGATATTTATATAGGTTCAGCTTTAAAAACACCACTTTCCCTTTAAAGCCTCTCAACAAGCCCATATTTTGTCACTTTGCAGGTAAGTTAGGCACTCACCCTCTCTTCTGGTATCCTCCTTCATATCCTCCACCACCACCACGTCCCCTCGGTGCTCCCCGATATCCACCACTGCTGTAGCCGCCACCCCTGTAGCCACCATCTCCATATCCACCGCCACTGTAACTACCACGAGGGGCACTTGTTCCACGACCACGAAAGCCACCCCCGCGAGTTTGTGCATAAGAGTTGCCACGAAAACCAGCTCTGAAATTACCCCTAAAGCCGCCACGGTACCCACTGTCTGGGCCACCTCTGAAGAGATGAAGAAAAATTATTTTTTTCCAAGAAGTAAATTTTGTAAATTATGAATTATACCAAAATTGCAAAATACAGTACCTCCAATTTAAAAAAACTCACCGGCCTCCCCGAAAGCCTCCTCTGCCACGGAACCCACCACGCATTGGGCCTCTAAAATATTAATGATTATAAAAATTAGTAAAAAACATATAAATCTATGGCAAAAACTTTAACAAAACCTTATGAAAAATGCCACAGGATAAGACTTAAAGGGGAAGAAGCAGGTTTGAGCATTTTTTTTTTTTTAAATATTTCTCTGATTTCAATGAAACTTTTACTGTAAATTAAGAAGGTATTCATTTGTCTGTACTGGAAGTTCTATGAAGTTTGCCTAGAAATAAAGAGAAAAAAAAAATCCATTTTTGATATGGCCTCACTATTGGAGAGAGGGTTTGCAATACTGACAAGGTGTAAAATGTTTTAGTTGATTTTACATGAATAATAAAAGGCGAAGAAGCAATCAATCAAAAGGATATGACTGAAATCTCAATATCTTGTACAGTAGGGCCCCGATTTATGGCATCTCACCTTATGGCATTCCACTAATATGGCAAATTCAAATTATGACCAAAACTTGTTATATGGTGAGTGGTCTTTCTGATACGGCGTGCCCCAACCGGTTTGTTTACATTCTCCGTGAGCGCATCTCTATTACGTCTGGAAATTTTCCAAAATTTCAAGTGTTTTAAAGATATTGCATATTTTATATGTACTCTGATAATTATACTTATGTGTACCTGTACCTAAATATATGTGCACACTGTGCTGGCATGCAGGTACACATTAAAATCACTAAGAGTCTCTCTACTCGATGCCATATAATCTCTTGGGCACATTAAATGTCATATATTACATTAATATAGACATTTCCATTAGTCCATCTATGATATTTTTTCAAAAATATATAATAAACATACTATGTAACATATAAACATGATACATACACCCACAGTATAAAAATTGACATAAATATGAGATTTGTTTACTAAGCGGTTCGTGGGAGAGTAGAAAAAATTACATTTTCTCTAGTCAAACATCGGTAACTTAACTACTAGTAACTTAACTAGAAATTTATTCCTTTCATATGCCTTCACTCTATCTATAGCTATTCACAACCCTTGTGGGTTTAGCGCTTCTTTTTATTATGATAATAATTTGTAAAAATAATAACTTGTAATAGTAACAACTTGTAATAATAATAATTTGTAATAATAATAATAACAATAATAATTTGTCAGAGCATCATTCCTTCTAAAAATTACATGAGACTGGAAGCTGTCTCCCACCAAGGAAGGGTGACAAATATCACTGTGAAAGATTACACATTTTTTTCTAACTTCTACCATTACTAACAGCAGATTTTTAGCTAGCAGAATCTTCTTTCCAATTTTTTGGCATCCCTTCATTAGCCTTGAACATATCCACCTTCCACACAGGAAACATTCATTTGATTTATCAGTTATATGCCTTGTTGCATATTTTAAATATGGGTACTCTTGAACACCAGATAAAATTCCCCATGTATTATACTTTGAATAAAAAATTTGTTACCTATGCCCATCTTTTGTAGGCCAAACACAAGTGTTCCAATTATAAAACTGTGATTTGCAACAATTTCTTCTCATCTTTTTTTTTTTTCATTTTATATCACTGTATTTTTTCTTTTTAAACTGATTTATTTTTATTGACAAAATGAACCAACTTATTGTAGTTGCATATTGTATCCAGCTCCTCACAGATTAAATGCAGGGACTTGTTATAATTATAACTGATGTTCACACTTACTGTTAAGTTTTAGTATTATATTAACCCTTAAACTGTCCAAACGTAGATCTACATTCACGTGTGGGGGGCTCCAAACGTAGATCTACGTTTTTGTTTACATGCTTTCAAATGGGGAAAATAAAGGTCGGAGCGCTACACACATGAACGTAGATCTACGTTTGGACAGTTTAAGGGTTAAGTGATTTAATGTTGCCAACTGGCTTTGCTCCTACTTTTTTTTTTCACGATACTGTACCTTCCCTAACTCTTCCATCATTATTCCTGGCTATGTTTTACATGGTACTGTACTTACGCCAACACTTCCCTCACTATTCTTGGCTATGTTTTACATGGTACTGTACTTACGCCAACACTTCCCTCACTATTCTTGGCTATGTTTTACATGGTACTGTACTTACCCCCACTCTTCCCTCACTTTTCTTGACATTGTTATAATTATCTTTGTATTTTGCACTCATAAGGCAAGGAGGAGGTCATTACTCTGATCATATATTCAGTAAAAAAAAAAAAAAACAAGAAACACTTTCAACATCACTCAATCACTGTCTTGCCAGAAGCATATATCTCCACCCCTCCTTCAGAGTGCAGGCACTGCACTTCCCACCTCCAGGACTCAAGTCCAGCAGCTTGGTTTCCCTGAATCCCTTCATATATTTTACCAAGCTCACACTCCAACAACACATCGTCAAAAAAAAAAAAAAAAAAAAAAAAAAAAACTTGCCTCCACTTGCTCCTCACACACCTGTTGAATGCAAAAGCCCCTTGCATACAAAACCTCCTTTACCCCTCCCTCCAACTTTTCCTAGATTTATACACCTTCCAAGTCATCCTTTCTAAATATCCAAACCTCTCAACCCTCTGGATAATACTTCTAGTAACCCTGCACCTCTTCCTAATCTCCAAACTACAAATTCTTTGCATAATATTCACACCACACATTGGTTTCAGACATGACATCTCTACTGCCTCCAGGCTCTTTCTTGCTGCAATATTCACAACCAAAGCTTCACAACCATGTAAGTGTGTTGGCCTCACTAAACTCCTATACATTTTCCTTTTTGCCTCCATGGATAGTTTTTTTTTTTTTTTTTTTGGCTCCACGAATGGCTTAATGCACCACCCACCTTTCTCCTCTCATCAATTCTATGGTTCATCTCATCTTTCACAGGCCCATCACCAAAACAGTTTCACTCCCAAATATCCTTTGTTCTTAAAATTTCCTTCTTTTACATATCCTCCCAAATTCATCCACCAACCTTTGCAACTCCTCTTCAAAATCTCTCAAAAACACAGTGTCATCAGCAAAAAGCAACTGTAACAGCTCTCATTTTTAATTAGATTCTGTATATTTTAATCCCACACCTCTTCCTAACACGCTGCCATTTACTTCTTTTACAACCTCATCTATATATATGTTAAAGAAAAGTGGTGACATCATGCATCCTTGTCTAAAGCCTACTTTTTCTGGAAAATAGTCTCCCTCTCTACTGCATACCCTAACCCGAGTCTCACTACCTCATAAAAACTCTGCTCCACTATCCACCCAATGAAATGCCTTTTCTAAATGCATAAATTCAAAGAAAACATCCTCACCTTTATTTAACCCTTTAAGGGTTTTGGCCGTACTAGTATGGCTTACGTACCAGGGTTCTTGATGTACTAGTACTCCTAAATTCTAGCACCCTCAAATCTAGTGAGAGAAAGCTGGTATGCCTACATATGAAAGAATGGGTCTATGTGGTCAGTGTGCGCAGTATAAAAAAAATCCTGCAGCAAACAGTGTGTAATGAGAGAAAAAAAACTTTGACCGTGTTTTTGGATTAAAACAGCGACTTTACACTGTATTTTCGTATGACATTTATTGTTGTATTCTAGTTTTCCTGGTCTCATTTTATAGAATGGAAGACATATTACAGAAATTGAGATGATTTTGACTGGTTTTACAATGAAAAGCATACCTTGAAATTAAGCTCAAAGTAGCAGAAATGTCCAATTTTTACCAAACTTCAAAAGTAAACAAATCATGCTATGGGTCATATATACGTCAACTGGCGAGTCTAATATTCTTTCACAAGTGCGCTGATATTATTTATACCATCTCTACACTAATGCAGTAGTCTGCATAACAGTAAATCTTCTACTTTTTCTGAGAATAAAAATTCAAAGTGGAAAGCAAAAGAATGTAAGAGTGGCATGGGGACATGACTAATGAACAGAGGAAATGTTATGTTAGTGCCAGGAATGTCTTTCTTGTTTATTCTGGACCCTATTCGGAAATTGGCATCTTTTGAAATTTGTGTGAAATTGGCAAAATTGTTAAATTCTGACAACTGTATTGGATAGTTGAAATCGGTAAATGGGTGGTTTCTTGTACTCATTCGATAGAAAAAATGAAGTTCTAGCGAAATAGTTATGATTTTTGTCAACTAGTACACTGGAATTGGCTGAAAATAGGGCTCAAAGTGGGCAAAATCGCCTATGCGTAAACATCGAGACCGCTAACTTTGCGAGAGCATAATTCCCTAAGTTTTCCATCAAATTTCATACTTTTGGTGTCATTATGATCGGGAAAAGATTCTCTATCGTTTCATGATAAAAAAAATATTTTTTTTTTTAAATTTGGGCGACCCTGAAAACAAGTTTCGGAGAGGGCCTGGCGACCCTGAAAGGGTTAAATCTTGCTCACCTACATGGTTCAATGTAAACACTTGGTCTACACATCCCCTACCATTTCTAAAGTCTTGTTCATCTGCAATCCTGTTCTCTGTCTTACCCTTAACTCTTTTCAATAATGACTACCATAAACTTTACCTGATATACTCAACAGGCTTATTTTCCTATAACTTCTACACTTTCTGTTCTTCCCTTTTCTTTTATACAAAGAAACTATGTGGGCTTTCTGCCAATACCTAGGTGCCTTCCCATTTTTCATACATTTAATAAACAAAAGTACCAACCACTCCAAAACTATGTCCCCACCTGCTTTTAACATTTCTGTCTTGACAGCATCAATCCCAGCTGCTTTAGCCACTTTCATTTTACTCATTGCCTCATGCACCTCCCCCATTCTCACATCTGGCTCTTCCTCACTCCTAAAAATTGTTATACCTCCCTGGCCAATACATGAAACCAATGTCCACCTTTCTGTATCAACATTTAACAGACCCTCAAAATATTCCTGTTATCTTCACAATACCTCCAACTCCCCATCTAATAACTCCCCTCTTCTGTTTTTAACTGTCAAATCCATTCATTCCCTAGGTTTAATCAACCTATTAATCTCACTCCAAAACTTTTTTCTTAGCAAAGTATGTTGGAAACACATC